CAGTGATGCCCAGTCCTGGATGAGAGCAGCACAGGGTACCTGGGGAAGGTACCATGGCTTGGGGCACTGTGTGGCAACAGTTGGTTCACAGAAAGCTTCCTGGCTGTGGAATGTGGTTGGGATCAGATTATCTGGGAGCTGCTGGCTCACACACAGGCCTGGTGCTGCCCTTGGTTCCTGGGGACAGCAGGATGCTCATGGAGCTGTGCCCTGTAAAAATAAGCCCATTTTGAGTCCTAGGGAATGACTGCCCTGCCTTGCCTCTGTATCCCACATTCCACAGTGTGCTGTTAGTGTGAAATGTTTCACTGTGGAGCAGCTACAGCTCAGCTGCTGTTTGTCAGGCCTTCTCTGATAGCACAGGGCAGGCCAGTCACTGCTATTTATATAGCAGGCTGTGAAATTAGTGCTCTCCCGTGCCAGCTCACAGCCCAAATTGCAGGAGCCAGGTTGATTGAGTGCTCCTCCTCAGAGTGCTGTGGTTGTGTGCCTGCTGGAGGGGAGCTGTGCTGGCTGCTGCTGCTTTGGGCTGTGGCAGAGCAGGACCCATTTCACAGCACAGAGCTGTGTAAGGTGGTAGGAGCCTTGTGGAAAACCACCACGTTACTGTCTGGTGGCAGCTGAAACCGGAGGTCTGAGGATCTGCTCAGCTGTTCCTTCTGGTGGCAGGAGGGCAGGAACATGGTGAGATGGCCACCCAGAGCAGGAGGCTCCTCTGGCAGCTGTCGTGGAAAGCAGCCCATGCCAGGAGGGTGCAGTGCCTGCTCAGTGCCCTTGGCTCTGCTCTGGTGCGTCCTGGTGCTGGAACACAGAGCACATCCAGAGGGCCCCACTCCTGGTTCTGAGCAGGGACCCAGCTGGTGCCACATCCCCTGGGCCATTGCTGCTCCTGGGAGGGCCCCAGCCTGCTCCTGGCCTGACACACAGCAGGGAGGGCTCCTGGTGGGGACAGGAGCTGCAAGAAAGGAGTGGCACAGCTCCCCTGCAGCTCTGGGCACTGGGTCGGTGGTGGTTCAGTGCTGCCCACACTGCCACTCACTGTGATCACCTGTCAGCAGTTGCTCTGAGGTCTGTCTGTGTCTGGGAGAGCTGTTTGGTGGCACAGTTGTCTGAAATTCCAACTGTAGCAACATCGGAGCTTTAATAATAGAAAGGCCGTCCTATCCACAAACCTTGATTTTTCTGAGGAACTTGCTGTGTCCCAAGAGTGAAATGTGCTTGTTTTTCCTTCCCCTCTTCCCTCAAACAGCCCTCCAGCACAGTGGGAGAAAGCTAGAGCTCACCTGCTGCGGTGTGGGAAGGTTGGAGCTTTGATCCTTGTCCTCTCTCCTGGAGGTACCTAATGCTGCTCATGGCAGGTGCTGCTAAATCTGAGCTAACTGCCCATTCCTGGCAGGGCTGGCACCGTGAGCAGTGCCCACAGTGCAGACAGTGCAGGCCTCCTGCCTCTCCAGGGCTGGCAGAGCTGCCTCCTGGCTTCTTTGGAGTGTGTGGGCTGCTGCCCCTCATGCTTCCAGTTGTTTCCTCTGCCCCTGTCCCCTGAGCAGTGGCACCTGTGGTGCTGGCCTGTGGGCTGGGATGTGCTTCTCTCCATCACAGACATCTCAAGCATCCCACCCTTGGATGGCCCTGGCAGCTCTCTGGCCAGAGCAGGGACAGCAATGCCTGGAGCTCTGCGAGCCCCTGGCTCAGTTTGGTCCAGAAGCATCAGCTCCCAGCTGCTGTGGTGGAACTGGTGTGTGCTGAGCAGGGGGAAGCTCAGCAGTGCTGTGATACCAGGATACAGCCTGGCATGGGGCCCATGCTTCCCCCAGGAGTGCTGAGGGCGATGCAGGGCACGCCCAGCTCCTGGCCCTGAGCTGCCAGTGTGAGCAGTGCCCCTGATCCCACCACATCACCTGGCTGTGTCCCATGGCAGGTGTGTGGTGCAGCTGTGCCCCCTTTTGGGAGGCCTTGGGATGGTGCTGGGGAAATTCCTTCCCTCATCCCCAGGTAAGTGTTCTCTGGAGCCCTCAGCTCTGGAGGGGACAGGGTGGGATTTGCACAAATACCTTTTATCTTGTTGAGGCTGCAAAGACCCAGAGGAGACGTGGAAATTACCTTACTCTGCAGAATAACCTATTTTTTCTGAGTGTTTTTGAACAGCAGCTTTCTTAGAAACTCCTTGCTGCATTTTATCTCCTTGGGGTGAGTTTAGCAGATGCAGCACAGGGTTTTTTAGGCCCTGCCATACTGCATTAGGGTCACAGGCAGGTACAAGCTTGCTTTGAGAGAGGAAAGCTGCTCTTGCATGGTCAGATAACGAGGTGTTGGCAGCATGTGAGGGAGTTCTGCAGCCTCCCTGTGTGCTGCTGCCCATCTGCTTCAGCTGCTGCCTTGCTGGTCTCAGTCTTTGGTTGTTTGCTTGTTTAGTGATCCCTTGGAGCGCTGGATGTGTGGGGACATGGTGACAAGCTGGCTGGTTCCTTGTGCTCTGGGCTTCCAGCAGCCTGGGAGGTTGCTCCTGTGGCAAGCTGCATGCCAGCTGTTCTGCTGGATTCTGCAGGAATTGGTCTGAGCCTGAAATAGCTCTGACTGTGTGAATAGTGGTGAAGCATGCCAAACCTGAGAAGTGCACTTGATGTTGGTAGTGGAAGGTGCTTTTGGATACAAATCCAGACTGGAATTTGCTGAAGGATTGGCCCAGGCACAGTACTGTGCTGTGTTGAACTAGTTGGAGATTTAAATGGGGGGAGTGCATCCTCTGAGACCCTTTACATTTGTTTGTTTGCAGTAATGAATCCCAAGGCTTGTGAAGGCCACTCTGTTACTTTGGGTGGGCTGTCCCTGAGGAGCAGTGCTGTGACCCTGCCTGGTGCATGAGGAGCTGTGTGCAGGATCAGTGGGTGCCCTGTGCTGGCACTGGTGTTTCTGGGGCACTGGAACACAGCACAAGGCCAGGGGCTGGCATTGAGGGGGGTGGCTTGTTGAAAACTGAGGAGAGCCTTTCAAATTACTTTTTACTGAGGAATTGCTCTTGGGCGTGCACACCCAGCCTTCCTCCTTATTGTGCACAAAGCTGGGGAAGCATCTGGAGAGTCAGGCCTGTGAGGAGCAGCTGAGGGGTCTGGAGGGGCTCAGCTTGGAGAAAAGGAGGCTGGGGGGGCCTCCTGCTCTGCAGATTCCTGAAAGGGGTTTGTAGGTGGGGGATTGGGCTCTTCCAGGCAGCTTGTGACAGGACTTGCTCCCTGCTCCTTCCCCTCTGCCCTCAATTCAGGACAAACTGTATGCAATCTCTTCCTAGCAGGAGAGCCATGGAGTGCCCAGGGGTGTGACAGTCCCACTCCCACCTGCCACCCTGGGATGCCCTTAGGGATGCAGTTTGGTGTGATGGGCAGAGCTTTCTGATCTCTGGGAAGCTGTAAGACTTTGTTCTTTGAAAGGGGAAGATAACTCAGGAGTGCTGCTTGCACAGAAGTGGGGAAGAGTTGCTTTCATTCTGATCAGCCTCTTGCTCAAAGGAGCCTGCTGGGAGTGACAGCCATTATCTGTCCCCTAGGGCTGGTGCCATTCACTGGGTGGGGAATGCTTTAATTGACTGGGCTGTGGAGTATTCTTGGCTGCGGTGACCTGAGAGCTGCCAGCATGGCTCAGAGCTCCTCCTGGGAATAACACAGGCCAGTGTGGCTTTGTCACTTCGACTGGTGTGGATGGGGAGCTCAGATATTAAAACCAATTAGTTGTCTTTAAGGTCAAGGACTTATTTGACCTACCAGCCTCCATTTCAACTTGGCCTGGATTGAGGATCTTTGGGAGAGGGCTGCACAACTTGTGTAAGGAAGTTAACGAAGTGATGCTTTTTAAAGCACTTCCCTGCTGCCTCTGTAGCCCAAACACTTCAGCAGGACACTGGTATGTGCCAGCCTGAAACAGCAGCGAGCAGGGGCTGGGGTAGGCTCCTTCCATAAGAAATGGAAAAGAGCAAAACCCTTGGGTTTGATGTCTGAAAAGCACTTTGTTGGTGCTCTGACTCAGAATCCTGAGAAAAGGCTTTTTCACAGAGCTTAGCTGCTTTGCCCTTGAGAGTGCTGGAGGGTACGATGAGGGATTTGATTTTTGTGCCATTACTCTAATGGGAAGCATGAGGTCTGGGTTAAATCTGAGACAGTGCAGAGGCAGCACTTCAGACATCTGGGATACTTCAATGGCAAATGGGAGGTACCTGCTGGAAGGCAGATGGGAACTTCCCCAGTTTTCCTTTTGGCATTGGGTGGATTTGAACCACAAGGCAGCTTTGGGGATTAAGATTTCTGCAAGACCCACCCCAAAGCCCTAGGAAAAATGAATATCAAACTTATTTTCCTTTAAGCCTGTCCTGTGATTTGTGGGGTGTTATCTCCTGACTCCGTGCCTGGGGTTGGTGCTGGTGAAGCAGCAGTGTGTGCTTAGCACAGCTCAGTTAAAGCAGCTGCCAGAGCTGATGAGCTGCTCTGGGGACAAAAGTGATAGTGGGAAAGCAGAGAAGACCCACTGTGACAAAGGAATCCTTCCCCTTCCATTTTCTGTATTAATCTGAGGAAAACAACGTGTTAAGACAGCACTTGGGCTGCTTGGTGCTCCAGCTGTCTGAGAACAAATTAAATGGGCTCTGAGATGTCCTTGAAGTATGTGGCTGCATTGTTTTAAATAATCTCTGCTGGGAGCTGCTTCCATTTCTTCTGCTCACAGCCCCTGGTCTGTGCAGCCCTTGCTCTGTACATGTGTTCTTTCTTCCCATGTCGTGCCCTAGAGTGAACAAGCAGCTTTTGGAGGACTTGCTTGGTGGAGGCTGAGCACTGAAGCAGAACCTGTTTTGGTTTTGTTTTCTTTCCTCTCCCACTGTTGTCCAGCAGAAGGGGAATTACACCGGCGACAGTGAAGAAGCGCCTTGGGGGAGGGAGGAGAGAGCTGTGCACGTGGGATTTGGTGTGAGGGTGCTTGTTGCTCTGCTGCCTGCTCACATCCCTGTTTTCCCTCCCCAGCAATGGTACCAGCATGATCTCGTTGATCATTCCCCCCAAAGACCAGATCTCACGAGTGGCAAAGATGTTAGCGGACGAGTTTGGCACCGCCTCCAACATCAAGTCCCGGGTGAATCGCCTTTCAGTGCTGGGAGCCATCACATCTGTACAGCAAAGACTGAAACTCTATAACAAAGGTAACTCCTAGCTTGTGTGGATGCTGGCACACTTCCCTTGCTTGGAAGCAGCCTTAAGTTCCTGCACTATGCAGTTTGCTGCTAATCAAATCTGTTGGCCTGTGCTGCTGTTTTGCACTGATATTTCAGGTATGTTGCCTTGATGGCTGCTTCAGGGGTGGACTTTGGGACTAGAGTAGTAAGATGGTCCTTGTCTTAAAGGAGTGGGGTCATGATTCTGTTTTTAGTGCTAACTCTGCTAAATTTGGCCAGGCTTAAGAGCTGGATATTCTGCAACAGTTCATTTGTGTTAAAGTAGTAATTTTCTGTCAAGCAGGAACTTCTGTGTGCCTTAAGCATGGCATTGAGCAGCTGCCATCATTGTGGGGGGAACAGACCCAGGCCATGTCAGATGAGCCCTGGCAGAGTTCATTGTTACTGCTTTTGCACTGGCCTGTGGCCTTCCCTGGGATGGGCACTCTGCAGGTCCCTGTGTGGGGAGCAGCAGAGCTTCAGGGGCTGCTCAGCCTTCTCTGGGGGTGTGAGCTTGCAAACTCATGGGTCTGAGAGGCAGCTGCATGTCTGCTACAGGTGCACTAAATGAGTTTGTTTCCCATTGTAGAGACCTGGGAGAGAATAAGGTGGGGAAAAGGGAAAATGAAAAGTTTGGGGTCTTGATTTCATTCTGCTACAAGTCTCAAGGGCTGGCAGTCAGTTTTTGATGAGTACAGCTTGTCACATTCCTTAGTGATCTAAACCTGCATTGTGTTGTTTGTAGTACCTCCAAATGGTCTGGTTGTTTACTGTGGAACAATTGTGACAGAAGAAGGAAAAGAGAAGAAAGTCAACATTGACTTTGAACCTTTCAAACCAATCAATACGTCGTTGTATTTGTGTGACAACAAATTCCACACGGAGGTAAGGACTCCCCATTGCAGGGGCCAAGCTCTGGGCACAGCCTTGCTGTGCTTGAGCCACAGGAGCAGCAGGAACATGGCCTGGGGAGGGTTCTGGGTGGCTTGGGACTGCCAGAGATGAGGAATGCCTGCTGGAAGGAGCTGAGGCACTGCCCAGCTCCTCCAGCCCTGACTCTGTGACCCACAGACAGGAGCTCCTCTCTGTAACTGGAGGAAGGCTGGGTTTTCCTTAACCACAGAGGCCCATAGATACTATTGCAAGTCAGGCTTTAAAATACTGCCAAGATATTATCAGTGTTGCCAGTCTTGCTATCAGATGTGTTAACTGAGAGCCTTGATGGAGAACTGGCATGTGCCTAATCTGTCTGGGGGGAAGTGGGATTATTTTTATCCAACATCTAATTAAGTGAAATGAATGGTTTGAGGCATATTGAAAGAAATGTGGATTACAGCAGTCAGTGTATTGCCTCTGAGGCTGTTCTGGCTCTGGCAGGTGCAGAGGTCTCAGTGTTTGCAGTGCCCCTCACGTCCTTGATGTTTCCTGTGATTAATGTATGGCCTGAGACTTAATTGCCTGTTGTCAGACCCATCTGACAGGGCTTGGCAGGCCCTCCAGTGATGTAATTCTGCTTGTCTGTTTGGGTCTGTGGAGATTTGATCCACAAGTGGCTTCCAGAGGGCAGGAGTACAGCAGGGAAAGGTGTGCTTGTTGCGCAGGTGGGGTCCATCCCTACTATTCTGTCTCCCCACAAAGGATTGAATCCCAACATGCCTGTGACCTCCCAGGAATAAAAACCTGTGCACAGACACAGGTCTGGAGTTCTGCTGGGTCCCTGTGCCCACAGATGAGTGAAAGCAAGGGGGAAATAAGAGAATTCAGCAGAGAGCCAGGATGCCAGGCCCAGAGAGGTGTTTGTCCCTGCTGTTGTGGGCAGTGGGAGGCTGCTGGGTTTCCTCCTGCCCTGTCCCTGGCAGGAGATGGATTCATTTGGTCTCCTGTGCAGCTGCTGCCTCAGGGCACTGATTCCATACAGAAGTGCCCAGCAGGCTGTTCCCAGGAGCAGCTGCAAACCCACCGCTGCTGGTGTGAGGCAGTGACCTGAGGGGAATCTGTGGGAATTGCTGCTCCTGGTGATGGATCAGTGCCAGCCCCTCCCTGCACGGGCTCTGTGCTCTCCCCTGCTATGGGGTGTGGGGTTATTTCCCTGGGATTGCCTGCCCTGCTGGGTTTGGGGTTATTTCCCTGGGGATTGCCTGCCCTGCTGGGCTGTGGGCTCTGAGCTCTGCCCTTGCCCCTCTCTGGCTGCAGAGCCTGGAGCCCCTGAGCTGAGAGCAGGGGCAGCTGCTGGGGCACCCACAGCTCCCCTGGAAGGTGGGAGGAAGGGCTGCTCTTCACCTTTGGGCTGCAGAGAGGGAGATCAGTGCAGCCTGAAGGAGCAGAACAAAGGCAGTGGTCCCTTGGTGCTAGACAGGTCAAACAGTGCAATTGCTGCCAGAGCTGATCAGGGAATCACTGATCATTGGTTCTGTATGAAAATAAGAGGAAATCAAGGAATCAGAGCTGTAGTCATGTGCTGCCTGGCAAGAGCATCTGATAAGATATCTTCTAGATATTTTATTGCCTGTGTGGAACTGAAGTAACTCCCCAGGGGCTGTGAGCCCTGGTGTGTCTGAGGGGCAGGATTTACAGTGACTTACTCTGATAGCTTGGCTGGAGCATTCATTCCAGTCCCACGTTTTGCTTGGCTCAGTCCCAGTTCAATAGATTGCAGTGTAATATGCCACTTCCTCCTCTCATTCATCCCACTGCTGAGGAATTAATACAGAATATTTGCTTTGGCCAGGAGATTCCATTAAACCTTAGCCTCTATTTCTTCTAAGCTTGAGAGCTGCATCCTGGGTAGTGTGGATTTTGGAGGATGACTGATGGGTTTTATCCTGTCAGTTCAGCCCAGTAATCAGGCTGACAGCCCTGCAGGCAGCTCCAGGTCCCGTGCACTAACCCAGCACCATCACTTGCAGTGTTAAACTGGTGACTTCAAGCAATCTGGAGTTTTGACAAGTTCCCCATCCTACTGATGTGGTTTTGCCAGCCAGAAAGAGGATTCTGGCTATTGCTTTTTTGGGCATGTGTAAGTGAGCAGGAGTGTGTGTGTGTGCTGGATGTTTCTGCCCACTCAGCCCCTGAGGCAGCAGCAGCTGAGAGACTGCCTTGAGAAAGGAGTGCAGAGTTTGGATGCTTGGGCAAAATGAACTCAAAAACCTTGATACTGCTCTGTGCTTTGGTTGGGCAACTTAAATGACCTTATGGGAAATAGCTGCTTTTTTAAAGGAGGAAAATTGAAGAATAGCTTCATTTTGCAGCAAATGTTCTGGCTGTCTTCTCCACAGCCAGTTATGCACAGGACTATTATTGCTACTGTTCCTTGTGCTCTGTAAGGCTGAATTTGCTACAGCCACTGTAGATTTATTTCATCATTCTGCCTGTGGGACTCGAAGTCAGCAGGTGCAGCAGCCCAGTAGTGGTGCTAGGGAGGCTGTGTCAGTGCTTTGGACTGCAAAACTGAACCGACAGTGAGCTGAGCAAGGTCTGCTTTCCTGGTTGGAACGCCAGGAGAATTACTGAGGAGAATTACTGCTCCAGTTGTGCCAGCCAGAGAGGTGAAGCAGCCTCAGAGAGGTGGGATCCATTGCACTTCACACTCTCCAGAGTTTTGCTGTCACACCTGCCCGTGACCTCACGTGGGGAACTGGCAAAGCTGGGAAATTGGGATCAAAATTAAACGTGAGTTTCCTCTGTGCTCCTGACAGTGTTGTATGGGATGAGATTATGTATGGAAGGAATTCCTTTCTGGGAGAGTGGGCAGGCCCTGGCACAGGTGCCCAGAGCAGCTGTGGCTGCCCCTGGATCCCTGGCAGTGCCCAAGGCCAGGCTGGACAGGGCTTGGAGCAGCCTGGGACAGCGGGAGGTGCTTAAGGTCTCTTCCAACCCAAACAATCCTGGGATTCTGTAGTGATCTGGAATAGTTACAGCTCCTGAATGTGCTGCTTTTCCTCCACTTTATTGATGCCAATGCAGCCATGAGAGCTGTGAGCTGGGGCTGCTGGGCTGTGCTGTGCTGCCCCCTCACACTGTGTCCCTTGCAGGCCCTCACGGCGCTGCTCTCCGACGACAGCAAGTTTGGCTTCATTGTAATAGACGGGAGCGGGGCCCTGTTCGGGACGCTGCAGGGCAACACGCGGGAAGTGCTGCACAAATTCACTGTGGATCTTCCAAAGAAGCACGGTAACTCACTGGGCTGCCTCTGTCCTGGGCTGGGATGGCAGGGTGGAGCTTGGCCTGTGGGGGTTTAGCTCTGCTCAAGTCTGTGCTCCCTTGGAATCTGACAGCAAAGCCTCCAGTCTGAGCCTTCTGTCAGAATTAATGAATCACAGCAATATTCAGTTGATCTCAGAAGTGGCACTTTTTATTTCTTGCTGCATTTGACCCTTTCTTTGGCTTTGGGACTGTTGTAACTCAGTGTTAGTAGCCCAAGCAGCAATCCCACTGCCGTTTACCCCCACTAACGTGGGGCCGTTAAGGTTTGATGTGCTGGGGCTGTGTGCACCCCGCAGGGAGGAGCAGCGAGCTGCTCTCTGCATGGGGCTCATGGAGCAAGGAAAATTCAAGTTCCACTCTGTGCTGCTGTGTTCTAGCCAGCCACTGATGAGTTCAGCAAATTGTCTGCTGGTTACTCCCAGCCCACTGTCCTTTGTAGAGTGGGATGGGACAAAATGAAACAAAAGCACTGCCTCCAGTGAGGCTGTGCAGCAGAGACTGCTGGGCTGTGCTGCGTCAGCAGCGTTTGAGGCAGTGTACAAAGGAGATGGCTTCTCTTGAAGGTACAGGGAGAGAAGATGTGCTCAGATGTTCAATTTCTACAGAGTTGCAAGTCTTTATAGAAAGAAAAGAAACATTTTCCTCTGTGGAGAAAAATCTCCTGGTGGGAATGAGCCCTCTTTATTCTCTGAGTGTTCGTGGCAGCCCTTGCCTCGGCTCGTGGCACACTGAGTTCAGGAGGCTGCAGCTGCCCTTGGCTGTGGTTATTCCGGGCCAGCTGTGTCCTGAGGACGCTGCTGGCGTGCAGTGTGTCCCCATGGGTGCCCTGTCCCTCCCTGCAGGCAGAGGAGGTCAGTCTGCCCTGCGCTTCGCCCGCCTGCGCATGGAGAAGCGGCACAACTACGTGCGCAAGGTGGCCGAGACGGCCGTGCAGCTCTTCATCTCCGGGGACAAGGTCAACGTGGCCGGGCTCGTCCTCGCCGGCTCGGCCGACTTCAAAACTGAGCTCAGCCAGTCTGACATGTTTGATCAGGTGAGCAAACCCTCCTGGCTGAGTGTCACTGCTGGGGCCGTGATTGTACAGGGGAATGGAACTCTGGCTCTGAAGAGATTTGATCAAAACTAAAAATGTGATGTACCCAAAGGAGTCTCCCATTTCTGATACCTCCTGCAAGGAGCTGAGAGCTCCTGTTCTTGGAATAGGGCTAATAAGAAATCTGTCCCCCCTGGTTTGGAACTGGCATCCACATTCTTTGTGTTCCAATAAAGCAGAAACGTTATTGCAAGTAAACTCCAGTAAACCTAATCCTGGTCCCTGTTGCCTGAAAACTGTGCTTCAGTACTGTGCATTCAGAGGTGCCTCAGGTGAAGTGCAGTGGTGAGAGCAGTGGCTCCCGTGGCAGGGTGAGGAGTCTGAGCCCTGCTCTGGGCTGGATTCACCATGTCCTGTCTCCTCCTTCCTCTCCTTCAGCGGTTGCAATCCAAAGTGCTCAAACTAGTTGATATTTCATATGGAGGAGAAAATGGCTTCAATCAAGCAATTGAGTTGTCAACTGAGGTCCTCTCCAATGTGAAATTCATCCAAGAGAAAAAGCTAATAGGTAAGTGATGCACTGCAGCCTCCTCCTGAGCCAGGTGTGGCAGTGCCCTTGTGCTGCCCCAGCCCTGCCATGCTGCCTGAGAGTGGCACTTGCAGTGTTCTTCTTGCCACCTGCACACCTCAAGTGCTGGTATGGGGCAGGGGTTTGGTTGGTTCCTTTTCCACACCACACTTCTTGGACCTTCTCTGTCCTTCCATCAGAGACCCCCTTAGTCCCAGGCCTTGTGGTGGCAGCTGCTTCTCCCAGTTTCTGGCACTCAGGTGCAGCTTGTTTGGAGCTGTGTGCTGTGCTGGGTGCTCATGGCAGGCTCTGTGTGCCCTGCAGGACGATACTTCGATGAGATCAGCCAGGACACGGGCAAGTACTGCTTTGGTGTGGAAGATACACTAAAAGCTTTGGAAATGGGAGCAGTAGAGATCCTGATAGTCTATGAAAACCTGGATATCATGAGATACGTCCTGCACTGCCAAGGCACGGAGGGTACGTGGTGCTCTGGGACAGGGCAGCTCTCAGGGTGGGACACCTGAGGGGCCTGGCTGGGATGGGTTTGCTGGAGGAGCTCCCTGAGGATGTCTGACCACAGGGATGTTGTGTAGGGCTCTTTGCAGCTTTCCCAGCCTCTGGGGGGAGAGCTGGAGCAAGCAGGGCTCCAGTGCACAGAGGGAATTGCAGTGCCAGGGGGGCACTTGGTCCCAGGGCCAGCCTGGAACCTCCTTCCAGCTTTGTGAGACTGAGGGGACCTTGTGTGCAGAAACACAATTGCTGGGCCTGCAGCAGGGCCTGTGCCCCTCTGTGCTGGCTCTGCAGCTGCTCTGTGCTGCTGTGCCCTGTGGGTTGCTCACAGAGCTTTGGAGAGGAAGGAAGGCAGTGGTGGTGCCCAGACCCTCTGTGTTGTAGTTGCTGGCTGTGCTCAGTCTCCTGCTGTCTTTAAACTGCATCTTGTGGCCTTACCCAAACTAATACTATCATTTTTTCCTCCCTTCTCAGAGGAGAAGATCCTGTATTTGACACCAGAGCAAGAGAAGGATAAATCCCACTTCACAGACAAGGAGGTATTTCAGCTTTGGGGTTCTGGCTTTGTTCTCAGTGTGTTGGTGCAGAGCTCTGGACATCTGGGCTAAGTTTGTCCCAGGCACCTGAGCACAGTGACCTTGTGGCACTCAGTGGCACCTCAGGGCAGGATCCTGTGGCTCTTCCTGTGTAACCCCTTGGATCCCACACCTGCTTTTCTCCACTCTTCCCTGCTGCCAGTGCCAAGGCTGTGTAAATGGGCAGTGCCAATCTTTGGGCACCACCAAACCATCACTTCCAAGGGTTTGGTAGCCACCATGCAGGCCAGGCCCCAGAGCCATTGCTTCCTGCTTTCTGGCACTGCTTTGGTTGTGCAGAGCCACTGTGAGGTCAGGAATGGTGACCTGGATCAGGAGCCAAGGGAGTGTCAGCTTTGGGATGCCTTTGACACCTGGAGCTGTCATTTGCTGCCTGTGTAGGTCAAACAGCCCTCATGGACCAGGGCTCTGTGCTACTTTGCAGAATAAACTGGGAAAACAGTGTTCCTTGCCAAAGGGTGGGGTCTGTCCCACTTGGCTGTGCCTGGGAGCCATTCCCAGCTGTTTTCTCTCCTGGAGGGAGGGCTGCCAGCCCCTGCTGGGCATGGAGGGTTTGCAGTGTTACCTGCAGTGAGGGGCTTCTGTTTCACAATAATCACTGCACCTCCTGCTCAGGAAATGGTGCCTTTTGGCTCTGCTTGCATGGATCAGTGTTCCTGCTGGATGAGGGGGCACAGCAAGTCTGAATGAGCAGTGAAGCTGAGGTGTACCATGGAGTGACACTGGAGCAGAAGTATCAAGGCAGTTTTTCTCCTGTTTCTGCACTAAATGTTGTATTAGAGGCCCAAAACCCTGCCAGTGATTAATTCAGTAGCACCAGGAGCTGCTGGTTGTGCCTGCCCTTGCCTGGTGCAGTTGTGCCAGGAATGCCTTCCCCCAGGAATGTCCCTGTGGAGGGAGCCCTGGGAGGGCTGCTGTCCCTGCTGCAGCTGACAGAGCCATGGAGCCAACCTTGGGAGGGGATTTTCTCAGTACTGAACACACAGGAACTGTAACAGGGCTGTACTATTTGTTTTTCCCTTCCAATGTCTCCACAGACTGGGCAGGAACATGAACTCATAGAAAGTATGCCCCTCCTGGAGTGGTTTGCAAACAACTACAAGAAATTTGGAGCAACATTGGAAATTGTTACAGACAAATCACAAGAAGGATCCCAATTTGTGAAAGGATTTGGAGGAATTGGAGGTAAACTGCAAGAGGAAAATGTGTTTGTGTTGTTTAGTGGTTGGTTTGATAATCTGGTGCCAACATGAGTGGGATTAATCTTATTCCTGGCAGTCATGAAAGCAGTTTGAGGAACAGTTGTGTTCAGCAGGGTGGATTCATTCCCTGTCCAGCAGGATGGTGATCCATGCTGGGCCCTGTCACTTTCCAGCTGTGTTCCTCAGTGCCTGTGTGCTGTGCAGGGCTCAGGGATGGGCTGTGCCCCTGTGCAGCTGCTGGAGCTCAGGAGGGGCCTGGTGGCAGCCCCTGCCCTGCCCTGGGGCTCTGACAACCCCCAGCCCTGTTCCTGAAGCACTTGGGGCTGTTGCTCATCTCTCAGAGCCTCCCTGATCTTCTGCTTCTTTTCAAAAGAAAAGTGTTTTAGTCCATCCTGGGGAGCAGTGAGGCCTCTGGGAGCCCGTCCTGCTCTGCAGCTCCCTGGCATCAGCCAGGCCTGGCAGAGTGCAGGTGCCTCCTGGTGCCAGTGTGACCAATCCTGGGCAGGGGGAGCCCCAGCACTGCACATCCTGGCTGGGCTCAGCTCTGGTGGTGGGAACCAGGGAGAAGGGCATTATTTCTGGGGTACAGAGCACCAGTTGGGAGGAAAAAACCTTGGATTGTTTGGCTCCATAAGGAGCAAGGTTTCTAAGTTTCAGGGTTTGTAATTCCAGGAGTCTCTCATTTCCTGCCAGATCCAGCCTCATTGCATGGTGGGATCCTCTTTGCTCCCATGCCCTGTAGGCTGGAAAGGAAATGTCCTTGCAAATCTCCTTCACCTCAGTGAGTGATTCCAGGGATACAGGATTTCCAGAGCCCTGGGTTGGTGTTTGGGGTAGGAAAACAGACATAAATCCTGCTTTTCCTGCATTGCAAAAGTAGCTGCAGTGCCAGCTGCCCTGTGGGTTTCACTGCCAGGCTGGGTGTGGGCAGTGACCCTCGGGCAGGGATGTGCCCCCGGTGTTGGTGGAGATGCAGCCCCAGAGCAGGCTCAGCTTTTGCAGGAGGAATCAGGCCGGGCTGGGCAGCGTCCCTGGGGCACGGGATGAATTCCTGTGGCATTTCCCTCCCAGCTGCCTGTGCTGGCAGGGCTGAGTGAGGAGCTGTGCCTGGGGGAGCTAAAGGCTGTTTCTTTGCAGGTATCTTGCGGTACCGGGTGGACTTCCAGGGCATGGAATACCAAGGAGGAGACGATGAATTTTTTGACCTTGATGACTACTAGGTAGTCGAGCTGGGTCCGGCAACACGTGCCTCGCCCCTCCAGCATCCAACCCAAGGAGCAAACTCATGGTGGAAAACACAACTGATCCCTGCCTTAGAATTGGAACATTTCCAGAACTTGATCCACGAGCATTTGGATTTAAGAAAGCTAAACCCTACACTTTGATTTGTCATAGTGTCAGTACAGCAGCAAACTACTAAGTTCCTATATGCCACTTTGGACTAATTTAAAAAGAATCCCAGTTTTTACTTTTACTCAATGGTGAAATTGGTTGCTCTTGTATTTTATGGAAATGATTTTTTTAACCTTCATGATACATTAACTGCTGTAAACCTCTTCCTTCCAAAATTAATAGAAGTAAGATCCTACTGGTTTGTTTCTTTATACTTTGATTGGAGAAATCAATTGCTGCATTTGGCAGCGCCGTGACCCATTTACATGGCATTCTCAGCTTAGCCTGCAGAAGAAATGGAACGAGGTTGGAGCCATAATTCTCTTCAAAAGCTTGAGGAGGCACTGACCTGAGTGCTGGTTCATTTCATGTGGCTTGCAAATTCTGATGGTGTGGGGAGGCTCACCAGCCGAACGTGCTTTAATCTATTTGCAGAAACACTGCTCTTACAAACTAGGAAATGCACTTCATGGATTGCAATGAAAATGCTGCTGGAGTCTTGGGCTTAATTTGGATTTGAGCAGTGCAGCCTTCAGGAATTTATTTTTTTTTCAGTCTTGACACAAATAAACATGAGATTTCAGTGAAGTAAGGTACACTTGGCTTTTTGTTCCTCAGTAAGTTTTTCTTTTTGCTTTAGGACTGCGTAAGGTTTCCTTGATTATGTGAATTTGAGCCCACAGGTCTTAAATGGAAGTGGGTGTTTGACAGGAATACTGAGTCAGTGGAGTGAAGGCTGAGTTAGTGCTGGGAGTGTGGAATATTTGACTCTGATCCATGGAGCACTGGCACAGCCCTGGGAACACCCAGCTCCCAGCAGTGTCTGTCCTGTGGGGATGTGCCCTTCAGGAGGCAAAGGATCTCCTCTGGATGGTCCAGCCTGCCCAGGCTTGGTGTCCTGCCTGTTCCACAGAGCATGCATAGGTCAGGGAGCTCATCCCTGGGGTGTGTCCAGCCTGCTGGGGACACTCTGGGGGTCAGGGGCTGTGCAGGACAGGGGAGCAGTGGCACATGGCAGGTCCTGTCCCATGGAGCAGTGGCACAGCTCAGGCCCTGTCCCAGGAGAGCAGTGACACAAGGGCAGGTCCTGTCCCAGGAGAGCAGTGGCAGAGCTCAGTTCCTGTCCCAGGGGAGCAGTGGCTCTGTGCCCAATGACACAGCTCAGTTCCTGTCCCAGGGGAGCAGTGGCTCTGTGCTCAGTGGTACAGCACAGGTCCTGTCCCATGGAGCAGTGGCTCTGTGCTCAGTGACACAGCTCAGGTCCTATCCCTGGTGAGCAGTGGCTCTGTGCCCAGTGGCAGAGCTCAGTTCCTGTCCTGTCCCAGGGAGCAGTGGCACAGCTCAGGTCCTGTCCCATGGAGCAGTGGCACAGCTCAGGTCCTGTCCCAGGGAGCAGTGGCTCTGTGCTCAGTGACACAGCTCAGGTCCTGTCCCATGGAGCAGTGGCAGAGCTCAGTTCCTGTCCCAGGGGAGCAGTGGCTCTGTGCTCAGTGACACAGCTCAGGTCCTGCTCCCTCCCTCGGGGCTCTCCCAGCGTTGCTCCCGGTGCTTCCCTCAGGAGCAGCTCCTGTTCCAGCTGCAAACCTTTGCCTCTTGTCCTGGTTCACTTGAACAGAGGGAGCTTCTCTTCAAATTTCTGCCCCACTGTTGTTTGAGGTCCAAAATTCCTGTCCTTGTGAGCAATACCATTTGTCCCCTGGTCCCTGCCCTGGCCGGCGGCTTCGCTGCCGTCCCCACATCCAAGCTGGAATCTCCCAGGAGATGGGGCTGGGTCTGCTCAGGGCTGAGCACAGCCCTGGCCCTCACAGCAGTATGTTCTGGATTTTGCCATTGTAAATGGGTCTAATGTGACATGACAAGACCACAAAAATTGGTTGTAAATTTACATTTTTGAATATACTGCTTGTTGTTTCACATGATACATTAGGGTATGCAGCTCCTTTTTGTAGTTTTTATTTTTACTATTTAAGTTTGGAAATGATGCCAAATTTTTGTATTTCTTTAATCAATGTGTTCTCTTCAGTGATATATATTGCATTATATATTGATGTGTATATCAATATATACTGATATGTATTACACTTACACATGCAAACACACTCAGTGGGGGTGGGAGATCCTAGCCTTTGCATACTATATAGCCTCTGCAGAGAGATCCCGAGCAGTGATATCTTGGTGTTGTGATGTACAGAAATGGAGAAGAGTATTAAACCATATTTAAGAATATAGTACAGACTCCTGGTTTATTTTCTCTAGTCCAGGAAACTCTTTGCTTTTTGCTCTCAGCTCAATGCCAGCTTCAGGGCTGGAGGTTGGAGGCAGCTCTTTCACAGCTCAGTTTGTTTCTGGATGTTTCTCCCTGTGCTGGCCCTGCTGAGGCCCCTGAGAGCTGTGCCCAGTTCTGGTCCCTCTCTGCAGCAAGGACACTGAGGGGCTGGAGCCCCAGGAGAGGCTGAGGGAGCTGGGCAGGGGCTCAGCCTGGAGCAAAGGAGGCTCAGGGGGCCCTTGTGGCTCTGCACAGCTCCTGACAGGAGGGGACAGCCGAGGGGGTCGGGCTGTGCTCCAGGAACAGGGACAGGAGCAGAGGGAACGGCCTCAGGCTGGGCCAGGGCAGGCCCAGGGTGGGCACAGCAGGAATTTCCCCATGGAAAGGGGGCTCAGGGATTGGCAGGGGCTGCCCAGGGGGGTTTGGAGTGCCCATCCCTGGAGGTGTCCCAGGAAGGGCTGGAGGTGGCACTGAGTGCCCTGGGCTGGGGACAGGGAGGGGATCAGGCACGGTTTGAACTCGATGCTCTGGGAGGGATTTTCCCACCTCAGTGATTCCATGGTTCTGTTTCTCCAGCACACTCAGTTGCTCTTTGAAGCTGGAGCTTGAAACTGTGGCTTCAGAAGGAGGGAGAAACCCAACAGAGGGCCCAAAGGCAGCTGGGCTGTGTTACCTGGGAGCTCTGAACACCTGGGGCAGAGGAAGGACAGCCTGCAGCACAGCAGCCTGCCCTTAGCATCCCAACCCCAGAACCCCTGGGTGTTTTTTTTAAGAAGTCTTTTCTACTCTGCCCCTCGGGCCAGCCCTGGCTCCCTGTGCCTGCCCTGACCTCTGGCTTCTCCTGTGGCCACCCACGTGTGTCCCTGGCTGCCCAGGGAGCCCCTGCCTGCTCCCACAGCTGGGCAGGCAGTTTGGGAGGGACATCATTAATATCAGGGCTTTTAGCTCAGATTCTCCAAGGCTGAGCCTCCACCTTCCATGGGAACAGCAGGGTTTGGTGTGAGGCTCTTGGCCTGTTGCTGCCACACTGGGGCTTGTGCAGAGTCATTCCTGGGGCTGAGACTGCCAAGCTCGTGCTCTGCCTCACAGTCTCTGATCTGCAGCTGTGGCAGGTGGGACAGCCTGGCTTGTTCTCTCCCATGTCCAAAATTTGGGAATCCAGAGCCCCAAATTTTGGACATGGGAGGTTTCTGCTGGAGCAGACCTAAAAGTGATGCACAAATCTCACACTCTGTGTGACCCAGGAACACAGAAGTGATACTGTTCAGCTCTTGGTGTAGGTAAAGGCATCAAGGTGAGCTCAGCACTAAATTAAAAATATAAAAATAATCCCTTCAGTTGGTGCAGTCAGGGGAAGCTGCTGCCTGCAGAGAACTGCTCCTGCAGCCTTCCCATTTGGTGCAGCCAGGGATATGTGTGTGTATTGCTTAATAAAATGGCAGATATTTCTCAGTTGACCCTTTACTGGCAGCACCAAGCCTGGTTTCTGCTTTCCAGCAGTGCAATCCAAGAGGAAGCAGGAGCAGCGAGGCCTGGCTGTGGAGAGATGCCCAGAGCTCTGCTCTGCTGTCACAGCTGTGTCTGAGCTGCTCTTTCCCCATGGAGCTTGGCTGGTTCCTGGCTCTTCCCCTGCTCGTTTCAGTGACAGCACAGCTGTGGCTGGCTGTGCCGGGTCACCTCAGTGCCTGGCACCTGGAATTCTCCCAGCAGCTCCTCACCCATGCAAGGGCTCTGGAGAGAGACGTGGTGAAACTTTGCTTCCTTTCAGCTGCCAGGATCAGGTCACTGGGTCCCTTCACATTCAGAAAGCAGCTCTGCTGCAGCCTGGCTTTTGTTCCAGGTGCACTCAGGCTGCTCTGTATCCAAAAGTGCCTTTTCTCACACTGAATAATGCAGAGCATCAGGGGGGTTCTCCCTGCCCTGTCCAGGTGGGCACCAGCTCCCATCCAGCCTCAGCTGCCTCAGCACATGGGATTGCTGCTGGGGTGGGGAAGGGAGTTTGATGGGGCCATGTTTGGGCACTTCCAGCAGGTTTGGGATTGGAAGCTGGGCAGGATTCCGTGAGGAATGACTATTTCCCCAGAAGGGATCCAGTCTTGGTTATCTGGAACTGAGAGAAGAAGAGTCACTCCAGGATGTCCCATGGAGTTTCTTCTGTGCACGTTGGGGAGGTTCAGAGGGCCCATCCCTGTGTGCTCCTGGGTTTTGATGTGGGGCTGGAGGCTCCTTGTTATGGTTCACCAGCTCCTTCTGGCTCTCTGAAGGGCTTTTTTCCCTTGTGCCAAAGGCTTTAGCTTTTCTGAAACCTCTGGCTGCATGTGCCTCTCCCCCTCGGGAACACCTGGAATTTGGGGTGTCTGTGTGGGGAGGCCGCCCCGCTCCCTCTGCATTCCCCACTCGCTTTCCAGCTGGCCCTGCATGCTCAGATACTCTGGTAATGCTCTTCTGAAACACTCCTTTTTGTCTGGCTGTAATTAAAGCCACAATTTACCCTTTCTGAGTTGTTATTTCGGGAGCTGGAGCTCGGCCTGTGCTGTTGTCACTCGTGGGTTACAAATGCCATTGTCCCGGGCAGCCGGTGCTGCTGGAGGCAGCTCTGGAATCTCACCCCGCTATTTTTAGGCAGTGCTGAAAAATTGCTCTTCCAACACTTTTGAATCGCTGTCAGTGCTTAAATAAACCAAAGGGCAGGTCCTGGCTGCTGTAAAGAGCGGGATGGGGAGGTGACCTGGAGCTGCTGCAGGGCTGAGCTGCAAATGGGGGAGCTGGGGGAGCCCCAGCCCTGGCTGGGCTGGGAGGGGTCACACATTGCTGCCCTGACACAGCTTTGACACAGCTCTGACACAGCCTTGTCACTGCCACTGCCACAGCCCTGACACTGCCACTGCCACAGCCCTGACACTGCCACAGCCTTGTCACTTCACTGCCACAGCTCTGCCACTGCCACTGCCCTGACACTGCCATTGCCACAGCTCTGCCACTGCCACAGCTCTGCCACTGCCACAGCTCTGCCCCAGCTCTGCCACAGCCACTGCCACAGTCACAGCCACAGCCCTGCCACTGTCACAGCTCTGTCACAGCCCTGCCACTGCCACTGCCCTGCCACTGCCACCCGTCTGTCCCCTCTGTGCAGGTGTCCCATGGTCGCTGTTATGCTGGGGTGGCTCTGAGCTCCTTCCTCATCTCACTGTGCCCCTTTTGGGGTCAGTTCTCCGCCCTTCCCTCTGTGTCCCCGTTGGCTCTGCTGCAGCCCTGTGGCCATGCCTGTGTGCAGCTCTGCTCTCCCCAGAGCCACCCTGGACCTGGCAGCTCTTGGGCAGCTGGGATGGGGGCAGGAGCTGCTGAAGGACTCTGTAAATCCTGTGAGTGTCCCTTGTGTGGGCTCCCCTTCCACCCCAGCCCCCTCCAGAGCTGTGAGACAAAAGCTGTTGCTCACCCAGTTTCTCCTTTCCAGTGCCAGGGCAGGAGTTTCCTGACAAGCTGCTTCACCTGCTTGGCCACCAGGATCACACAGTGGCACAAACCCCTCCTCCCCAGCTGAGGGATCCTCACAGCCGCGTTTCCCTGCCTGGTTGTTCCCTGCCATGTGCCTGGAGATCCCAGGTGGCTGCTTTGCTTCCCTGCCGAGGCTCCAGGACTTGCTTGGAGTGGGGAACCTTCAGATCAGCCTGGCTGAGGCTGCTGGGATCTGCAGTGTGCCCTGAGCTGCTCTGCGGCCAGCCTGGGGCGGAACGAGGGGCAGCGGCTCCTGGAAGGACCCTGGGGAGCCTGGGCTTGTCTGGGCTGTGAATCTTGGCCAGCCTCAGGACAGCCCAGTGTGGGAGGGTGTCGGAGAAACAGTTCAGCTCATTATGCAGAAAAGGTGTAGTGAGAGAAAATCCAGCGGTGTCAATCCCAAAATCCTGCCCCAGTGTGCTGTGGTGGTGCCAGGGTACGTGAGAGACAGACAGACAGACAGAGCCTGTGTGGGAATAGAGCCTGTGGGGATGACCAGGGAGCAAATCCTTCCCTCGGACAATGAATGGACAGAAAACATGGACAGAGCCGATGGCTGAGTCCCACTGGATCAGCCCCGGGGAATGGGGGTGCCCAGGGTTTTTCCAAGCACAGGATCACTTTGCTGCCATGCAGTGAGGCTGAGGTGACCCTCCAGGAACCCCCGCCCTGTTGCACAACACCGAGATATCTCCAGGTCGGGACTTTCCCTTCCACTTCCCCCCATCCTCATCCTCGCAGGAAAACCGGCAGAGCGAGTTCTGTGGGACAGGAACTGCCCCACCTCCCTGTGTGCCTCCACCTGAGCAGGGGCCTCATTAGCATTAATTAGCAGCTGTGTCCCTGGTGGCTGCTGTGCAGATGTGACACAGATCTGTCACACGCGGGCACGGCCCTGTCTAAGCAGGGCACACCCAGAGACTGCTCCTCAAATTCCTGCAGCCAGGTAGGCACGGGAATGTTGTGCTTGAACCATGGAGACATTTAGGGAGGAAAAGACCTCCAAGCAGTGCCTGCCAAGCTGTCCCCAGCCCAGAGCACTCAGTGCCACCTCCAGTCCTATCCAGAACCCCCCTGGGCAGCCCCTGCCAATCCCTGAGCCCCCTTTCCATGGGGAAATTCCTGCTGTGCCCACCCTGAGCCTGCCCTGGCCCAGCCTGAGGCCGTTCCCTCTGCTCCTGTCCCTGTTCCTGGAGCACAGCCCGACCCCCCCGGCTGTCCCCTCCTGTCAGGAGCTGTGCAGAGCCACAAGGGCCCCCTGAGCCTCCTTTGCTCCAGGCTGAGCCCCTGCCCAGCTCCCTCAGCCTCTCCTGGGGCTCCAGCCCCTTCCCAGCTCCCTCAGCTGCCCCTCCTAGGACTGACTCTTTCCCATTGAGTTTTATCTCAGAACTAATTTATCAAAACCTGTTTTGGCATCTTGTTATGCCTCAGACATGTTGCTCAGTCCTCATGAGGTTTTAAGTTGTGAGTTGGTCAGAAGCAATTTTAATTTACAGGTACAGGGGTTGATATCCCCACTCCTGCTTTCTTTCCTTGGTGTTCCACATTAAAGGCAAAATATTTGATGTTTTTATAATGCTTTCCCTTATTATTTTCTGTGTTTTTCTCCTTCTCACATCATAGGAATTGCTTTTATTACACCATTAAGAGCAAATTACAGGAACTGCAATTCCAGCTGACATCTCCTGCCAGAGTGAGACCCATCCTGATGTGCAACATCCATTGCTGTGCTGCAGGAACCCTCAAACTGCTGGGCTGGCCACACTGATTTACCCTTTGTACAGAATCATGGAAGGTTTCCCCCCTCCTTTCTTCTCTTTTTCATTTTCTCCTCATTTCCTTTGCCCTAGGAATTCTTCCCATCCCCAGAACACCAGGCTGTGCTTGGGAAAGCACTGGGAGCCTGGTGCTGTCAGCACATCCCTGCCCTGGGTATATTTAGACTGAGACATGCTGATTTTTGACTTTGGTGTCCCAAACAAATCTCTGCTGCCTTGGTCGATGTCCAGAGCCAGGGCCAGCAGAATGGAGCTGGATTTTGTCCCACCTTTCTCAGTGTGGGGTGTGACACAATGGGAACAATCCCACTGCAATCCTTCCTTAGGGGCTCTGATGGGAGGGATCCAGCCCAGCTGCCAGGGGCCCAGTTTGGCAGGAAAGGAAGGATTGTCCCTGGCAGGGGTGGCAGGTCAGGGGCAGCCTGGGGGGTTTGGGGCACCTTGCCCCACTGTGGGGCAGTGGCATCCCTGGGTTTGGCTTTGTCCCCACAGATGGAAATGGGAACACATCAATTTGTTATCCTCAGGTGAGCAGCAGCAGGGGTTTGATGGGGAGGGCCATTTGCAGTTCTTGTTTTGCCTTTTAAATTCCCTAAGAAGGGTTTAGACCTCATGGTAAGTATTGCTCTAAGGGATTTTGAGTGATGAAGGACATTTCTGCTGACTCCACCGTCCTGTGCAGCAGGTGAGCTGTCAGTAAGGAAGGACTTTGCACCATTTCCATTTGTTCATCCTCCACCTCTTCACCATTTGGCAGAGATTTGAACAGGTAACAGAAAAAGATGCTTAGCAGGAAGCTGCAGGTCCATTTCCATGGCAAGCCCAGTGCTGTGCTGTCACAGCACTCTGCTGCTCTGCACAGTTTTGTTTCCAATTCCCAATGCCTGTGGCTGCAGTTGGTCCCTGCTCGTGGCCAGAGGGCAGCCTGGGTGTCCTTGGTCCCCAGAGCACCTGGCTGGCCCCTGGATGCTCTGTGGCTCCTGTGGCACAGGCAGTTTGCCAGAGGGATCCAGACCCCAAAGGCTGAATCAGCTGCTCACTGCCAAGGGCTGAGGTCAGCTGCAAGGAAATGCCCAGTGGTGCCAGCAGACCAGGCCTAAGGCACAGATCAGGACTTGTGAAACAGAACTGTTTATCAAATAAACAGTCCAACATGCAGAGCCATCTCCTGAGTCCATGTACCACAGAATCCCAGACTTGGGCTGGAAGGGACCCTAAAGCTCATCCCATCCCACCCCTGCCATGGCAGGGAAACCTTCCACCATCCCATGGCAGGGACACCTTTCATCATCCCGGGCTGCTCCAGCCCCAGTGTCCAGCCTGGCCTTGGGCACTGCCAGGTATGCAGGGGCAGCCCCAGCTGCTCTGGGCACGGCGGGAGCCCACAGGGGCGAGTCCCAAGGGCGCTTCCCAAGCTCCCGATCCCGCAGCAAACCCGGCCCTGGCCGCTCCCACACGGCTCTGCCCGCCCGGCAGCGCGGGACAGGAGGCCTCGGGAGCTCCCGCCGCCCCTCGGAGGCGCTCGCTGCCGCCCCGCTCCATTCCTGTTCCGTTCTGTTCTGTTCCGTCCCGTTCCCGTTCCCATTTTCGTTCCCATTTCCGCTCCCGGTCAGGCCCCTCAGGACCCCCCCCCCACGCCGCCCCTCCGACGGGCACGCGCCGCTCCCGGCACCCCCCGCGCGCGGCCGGTGCCCAATGAGCAGCGCGGCGCTGCCCGGGGGGGCGGGGCCGGGCCCCCGCTCTTTCCGCGAGCGCCGTGACATCACGGCGGCCGCAGCGCGCGTGCGCGTGCGTGTGCGCGTGCGCGTGCGCGCGGCGGGGGCGGGCGGGCCGCGGCGGGGCCTGGCGGGCGCGGGGCGGCGGCGGCGGGGCCGGGCCGGGCCGGGCAGGCGGAGCGCAGCGGCCGCCGCCGCGATGGAGCCCGACTCGGTCATCGAGGACAAGACCATCGAGCTCATGGTGAGTCCCCCCGGCCCCCGCGCACACCCTCCCGTCCCCTCTCGCCCCCCCCCCCCCCCCCCCCCGGCTCAGGCCCCGCCGGCGCGCCCGGGCCGCGGGGTCCGGCGCCGCCGCCGCGGGGGCTGTGGCGGGCCCTGCTCGGCCCCGGCCGGCCGCGCCGTCCCCGCGGGGGGATCCGCTCGCTCCCGCCTCCGCCGCGGCCCGCCCGGGGCGCCACGAGCGCCTCCGTTTCATTGAAAATAAATAAATAACTGCAGTGAACCCCCGCGGCGGGCAGGGCCGGGCCGGGGCACGCACCGAACGCGAAATGCCCCGGCCGCGGGGGATCTGGCCCCAGCCCCGGCCCGGCCGGACCCCTCCGTGCCCTCGGGGCGGGTCAGACCCCGCACCGGTGCTGCGGCTCCGCTCCGGCACACACGGAATTACCTAACGAGACTTAATTGGTGTATTGGTTCTGCTGCTCATTAACGCTCACGCCGCTAAATTCGCGCTATGGAGAGGCAGCCAGGTGGGAGAGGTAGAAAGAGGTGTTGATTGTTTATTTTAAATATTAACAAATTTATATCTCTATGGGTAAATATCGGAGGCCCCTCATTTTACTGCCTTTAGGCATGAATAAAATTAAGTTAGGAGTTGAGAGAGAATAGTAATCGCTAAATATATTCTAATTTATTTGTTATAAACATAATTGCTTTTTCTCCTAAGCATAATTTGCCCTCATGTACAAAATTTCATACAGTTCTCCAGAACTGAGGGGCAAAATGCGAATAATTTCCCTTTAAGGCACTCTGAAGGTGAACTGGGTTCAGTGGAGACATAAATGGGTTTTTTAGCCAGTGGAGTTGTTGCTAAACTACCTGGTCCACAATATATGAACTTTCTTTAAGTGTGCCATCTGGTCTCAAAAAGCAGAAATAAAATGAAAAAGAAAAAGGGGAACCTACAAAACCTTTGTGTATCTTTCATTATTTCTACTGATCACTGAGGGCAGGGGCTTAAAAGTCATTCCTAGGGAACCTCCTGCCCTGGTCTGTGATCTCACGCTTGCCCTGGGGACATCAGAGCAGGACAGGCAGGGCTGGGGCAGCTCTGTGGGCAGAGCTCAGGAGCAGCCTCCCAGAGATGCCTCCTCAATTCCCGAGGTGGGAAGTGTGCTCTGGTGCCTTTTTTCTGCCGTGGAACACTCACCAGCACTCCTCAGCTTACGGTTCTGTGAGATGCTCAAATAGCATTTGGAGCTGGAAGGTTTGGCTCCCTCACCTTTCAAAAACCCCCACTTCTTTGTGTTTTCACAAGTGCTCTCCCGTTTTAGTCTCTCCTCTTTGTGGCCAGGTTGTATCAGGAGGAAGCAAATGGGATTTTTGCTGGTGAGTGTTGTACCCTCCCCTTGCTGGAGCTGGGAATTGTGCTAATCCATGCAAACATCAGTGGGGCTTGGAGGAGTTTCAGTCTCTAGTAGGAGGTTTTAGAAATACACTTTTCTCCCTTTCACAAGAAATGGATACATGTAAAAATTGAATAAGATGAACAGTTAATTCTGTCGTTTCCAAGAGAAAATGGTGCTCTCTACAATGTAGTTAGTAGTTGAATTTAGTGTTAACCTTAACTTGCACAGGATCACCTGTGTTTGAGTGGAGGTGTTGCCCTAAAAGCATTGCAGATCACTGCTGGATGCAGATGTGGAGGTTTTGCCTTTTGGTGTGGTGCAGCAGGGGAGATTGTCCAGGAGATCTGTGTGAATCCACAGGGCAGAAGCTGTTTGGGCTGAGTTCCCTGTTGGGGATTTCTGTGTGCTCTGGAAACGTGGGAGTCAGTCTGTGGGAACATCCCAGACCTGGGATCATCCCAGTCATCCCTGGCAGACTTAGGGGGAGGCTGCTCCTTTCAAATGTTCCACATTCCTAAAAGCAGATGTTTTATACCTCTCTTTGATCAGGGAGATGGGCTTTGATGCATTGCTTCCCTCCAGTGCCAGGGATGAATCTGTAAATACAGAAATGAGTAAGTACAGGAGCAGAGTGTGATCTGAAGGTTCTGAGGAGCAAACACACCATCATTCTGATGAACATAATGTGTCAATATGTTAATTGCATGGAAGTTTGAGAACGTGCTGCTCTACCCATCAACTGTGCCTTCCCTGGATTGATCATTTGCATTTATTTCAAGGAAAATCAGTCATGCAAATAATACTGTTCTATTTTTAAGGCTGGAATCTCAGAGAACTATTTCAAGGTTTCAGAGTGACAACTTTGATTTGCTGTGTGAAGTTTTAGTGGGTGTTCCAAGCCACTGTGTCCCTCAGGACAGCTGAAGGCTTCCTGTGCCCTGTGCTGCTTCTGTGGGTGCTGTCCTCAGTCATTCCCAGGGCATGAGTGTTGAGTGGTGCCACCCCAGTTGCAGGTGGTGCCCACCTGTAGGGGTGGGGTCCCTGAGGGTGGCTGGGGCTGCCCAGGCTGAGCTCCTGGTGTCTGGCAGGGTTCACTGTGGGCTCAGGGAGACGCTGGGTGTGAGCAGGTAATCCAGAACAGATGGAGGGACACTCACTGAAAGGGCTCTTTCTGCCCCTGGTTTTGGTTTTCTCAGTGAAATTAGATAACTGGGACCTTTTTGCTCTTTTCAAGAACCAAGTGCAATGCTTTGTGAAATAAGTTTTGTTGCCTGCAGATCCGAGTTGCGTATAAAATCCATGTTCAGTTGTATCAACCCTGTGATTTGCATTTCCCTTCCATATCTGCTGAAAGCCTTGTGTTCTTCATTTTCCCAGGACCCTTCCCATGATTGTTATTTAGTGTTACCAGCAGCTTTCACACTGTGGGAGGGTTAGCTGCTTGGGTTGTACTGAGGTGGTTGTAACTGAATACATCAGTGTGGTGAGTAGTTTGGGGGGCTTTTTGTACATTTGTGGGGTGAACTGTGTGCACCATGAGATGTGGAATAAAAAAAATAAATCTGCTGCTCCCAGGCTCCTGTACCTACCAGCCACCCACGGGAGAAGGCTCCTGAGCAGGGATCCAGTGGAAATTCTCCCACTCACTGAGCTTGTGCCCTTCATGTTCCACTGTGGCCTTGCTGCCCAAGCTGCTCTCCAAACACAGGTCCCTGTGCTGGCAGGTTAAATTCAGCACTCACTGCTCTGTGGTAGGAGCATGAAAAGGTTTGGGGAAGGCCATGCCTGGCAATAAAATGGGCAAGCGCTTGTTCACACTGCTATCATTTGTATCTTGAAGTTGTATATATGGAAATAATCTTCCTAACACATGGCCTTCAGTGTCTAGAATGCTTCTCTCTGGCTCTCCTAAAAGCATCCAGTGTTTAAGTACCTTGGTAAATAATAAATGAAGAATTATAATTGAATATCTTGCCAGAAATCTTTGTTTCCCCTGGTAGGAGTTTGATGTGAGGTGGAGGTGTTCAGTTCAGAGGTACCAGCCTGGGAAGGAAGTGTTTCACACAGGCCTGAGCAGCAGCAGCTCCTGCTGTAAATCACTCCAGGGCCACCTCAAGTTCCTTGGGTCACTGCAGCTGGAGATGGTTGTGCCCCCAAAGTATTTAAAGCTAAAGTGCAAAATAAATCCCAGCATTCTAAAATACAGCTGCCGTGTATATATCTCAGTAGGGCTGCAGTGCTCTGGCTTTTCCCTTCCCTGTCTCAGTCATGGCAAGCTAAGCAGGCAGTTGGATTTGTGGGATTTATTTTTCACATACTCTTGGAGGAACCCTTCAAAGAGTTGACTTTTGTAGTGACACAGACATAGGCAGTGATCATCTTTGCAGCTGAAACAAAGGAGATACTGTTCTAGCTGAAATGTGACTGGTTCTTCATTGAAGCCTGGGAGTAGATGGAGTGTTAGTAAGGTATTTGTAAACCTGTGTGTAACTTGGATGTGCTTTATTCAACAGGATAACAATCTGTTTGCTTTGCTGGTATCTTTTTTTAATCTTCAGTAGCTAAATGAGCAGTGCTGAGAGCTGCACGTTGGACAGTAAAGCATGCAGGGTTTTATACATGGGGAAATCAGCAATGGCTGGAGCATACAGCTAAAGAGGTGCTGGTGGGATGGATTTGAGGAAGGCACAGCCTTGGGATTAGCCTTGGGGCAGGGGATGTGAGGTCTGTGCTGCTGCCAGGCTCTCAGAATGACAGTCCTGTTTCAGAGAGTGCCTTGCAGAGGAAGGATGCAAATCTGAAGAGAAGAGATTGCTGTGACTTTGGCAGCAGTGCAGAAAATGGGAAGGAAGAGCTTAAGAACATGAATTAGAGCAAGGCAACTGCACTCAGAGCCAGCAGAGTGGTGAAAGGAGGGAAGTGGACAAAGGAGTGGAAAGCTTTATCTTTTGGTAGGGTTAGCTGGAGCAATGGCCTGATTGGGGAAATGAGGTGGCAGAGAGAAGGAGGCTATAGAGGTGCAGAAGTGTGTAAAGTTATCTGAGGTTTCTGGTGATGGTGGCAGTAGCCATCAGATAATTCAGGTGGAGGAAAGCTGCACATGTGCCAGTTGTGGGGGAACTTCTGAAACTAAATTGCTTTTGGTTCTTAATGAAAGGAAGTTACCAATTACTGGGGAGACTAAGCCCTGGTGTTTAACCAGAGGCTTTTTAGATCTCATTCCAGACTCAGATTTCTCACTTCACATTGCAGTTACATTTTCTAGCATAACAAAGTTGTCCAAGCTCTGTCTGGTGCTGAGCAGAGGAAGTTTCTGCAGTCTGGAACACGTGCAGGGCTCACCTGGGCAGTGTGACTGGGCAGCCCTTGCCTTGTGCAGGGCTCACCTGGGCACTGTGACCGGGCACTCTCAGCCTGTGCCAGGGCTCACCTGGGCACTGTGACCGGGCACTCTCAGCCTGTGCCAGGGCTCACCTGGGCACTGTGACCGGGCAGCTCTCGGCTCCAGGGGCTGCCCCAGAGCCCTGCCCGGGGCTGGCAGCTCCCAGAGTGAATCCCTGCCCAGGTGTCCGTGTGGAAGGAGATCCTGTCTCTGCAGGCAGCTGCTGTGGGTGCAGCTGCCCTCTCTGAAGTGCTCTGGGGCTGCTGCTTTGATGAAAAGCCCATCTGCCTTTGGTGTGTGTCAGACAGTGCCGGCTGTGTCCCTCAGGATACAGAGCTTTGAGCACTGCTGAGATTTGGGTCACTGAGGAGTGTTGGGAGCAGCATCACAGCAAAACAACCTGCCTTGTTACAAGCTGTACCCTCAGAGAGACCTGGGAGTGTTCTTTGAAAGATGGATGTACCTTTTCATTTCATGCTTTCTAAACCACCTCTGGTGCTTGTTAAATCATCTTGCCGTGTGTCTCGGGGTGTGCTGGGTTTGTTGCCTCACAGTTTAGAGGTCGCTGCTGCTTTGGCATTTCCAGTTGCCTTCCAGTTCCCAGCCCTGGGCAGCCTGGAGTGCTTGTGCAGCAGCGTGCTCAGGGAGATTGCTGATGGCTTTCAGATGAAATGGATGGTGCAGCAAATGTGCCAATGCAAGAGGAATGATGTGTGGGAGAGAACAAGAGGCCGTGCTTGTGAGAGGGCTGCTCTGTGACAAGGAATTTCTTTTTGTTGCAGGGCAGAAAATGAATTGAAGGGAAATGAGAATATTGACTGAGTTGTTTAAATTAATGCTGATGGATAACAATTCTTTCCTTCTAGCTTTTTCCTTGGGCGACGTCTTCTTTATACGGATGCCACTGTTTATGTTGTTACATAATCTGATTTCGTGGTTTGATTTTTATGGCATCATTATTCACGGAAAATCCACTTTTTCTGGAAATTCCCTTCCTTCCCCAGTTTATTGATGTATTTATGAGCTCAGTGGTGTGACATCTGACAGCCTACTCCGTTTTCCTGTACCACTTCCACACATTTCCCAATATGAGCGATGCATGACCGAGAGCAGATAATGCAAAAATAACCCAATGCCATTGGTGTTGTAACAACGAAAAGCATTGACTCTTTCTGAAAACTCAATTTGCTCCTCATGCAGCCTGAATTAACAGTGGGAACATTTGAAGGCATGTTGTTTCTTTGGTACTTTGTTAATCCACATCCCCGCAGGACTTGCATCCTTGTACTTCCACCCCAGGAAATTAACAGTTTTGTGTGGGATCAAAGAGTAGTTCAGCTTCCTGGGCCCATTTGTAGGATGAATACAGATGGAAATTTGTAAGATGTAGGTAGGGACCCACTTGCTAGGAATAGGGAGTGATGTGTTTTCTGGGTAAAATGACAAAAAAAGCTTTTTGGGTCAACTTCAAGCTGTTGGCAACAGTACAGAATTTTGGTTTACTCATTGACTTAGAGGAGAAGAGGAGAATCACTATATATATATAAAAATATATATATTCAGTGTTACAAGTTTGCTCTGAGTTTCATTCTGTTGAGTTCTTGAATATGGAGTTTTGGTACAAAAGTTGTGCCAATGTGCACTGTTTGCCTTTTTGAGGGCTGTGAGCTTGTGTATTTCAGCATGGTTTGCATGATGGGGCTGTTTTCAAGTCTTCCAACCTTTGCAGTGAAACCAGTTTTTGATTTTCAGACAAAAATACCTAAATCTCTTTGAAAATCTATACTCAGAATTTGCAAAACTTAGTAAGTTCCAGCTTGGACTTGATAGAGAATCTCATTGGCAATTCTCTTAGGGCAGGGGAGGACTAGCCAGGGAAACTTGTTATTCAGGCTGTCTCCAGCACGCCAGGCCTTCTGGAGACAAAAATCAGACCTGTGCTGTTACACTTGCAAATAACGTTAAGGTTTGGCTTCCTGGAGAAGTGCCTCTCCTTCCAGCACCCTGCTGGCTCTGCAGTGACTTGGCAAATCAGTGCATTTATATAATTTGATAGCTGGCTTCTTGCTGAGCTATATTGTACTCTGAAAATTCTGAGTCATATGCCTTGACATCCTAGCACTTTCCTTGGCAGCCTTAAGCATCATGCATTGGACATGGTAGTGGGCCCACAGTGCTGCTTTGTCCTTGAAACGCTGCCCTGGCACTGCTGCCTCTGCCAGTGCCTGGGAGCAGGACACCACCCCACCAGGAAGGTGCTCCTTTCTTTAGGGAGCTGTGGGCAGTCAGGACAGTCCTGTCCTCATGGAGATGGTTTCCTGGCACAGCTGGAGACAATGGCATTTTTTGCACCCTTCTGTGAGTTGCTGGAGCTCGAGGTGTGGGGCACAGCAGTGGAGGCTGAGGTTCAGCTCTGGAGGGGCTGCAGAGCAGAGGGTGAGAGGTGGTGGTGATGTGTTCCTCTGGGGGTGTTGCAGCATTTTGTTCTCACTGCTGGTGGGGGAAGCTCCATGGGCCATGGCCTGAAGTTTTTGAAGCTCTTGGTGGAGGTTGCATGGTTTGGTCTCTGCAGGCTGAACTTTCTGTTGCATGTGGAGTATGAGTTTTCTGCAGACCCCATCTTCTCTGAGGTGTCGCTTTCAGGCTGCTTTAAAGTAGTCACACTCTCACTGTGCTGCTGGCAGGACTGGCTGGAGGCCTTTTATCTCCCTCCTTAGCAAGAGGTGACTTGTCTCAGGAGTGGTGTACAGTGTCTTACTCTCTTCTGGCTCTAGATTGTTGTCCAGAGACACAGCAGTACTGCAAATGTACTGAATACAGTGCTGTGTTCCCATCAGGAGTGTCTTGACAACTCCATCTTTGTGCTGCAGATGTGTAAGGCAAATGAGGTCATTTTGAGCCTGGAAACAGGGAAATAATCATTGCAGTGAAGTGCTTTAGAGGATGTTTATGGCAGACCAGGAGAACTTCACTGAGCTGTCATGCAAACCTGTGTTCCTGGAGCAGGCCTGCGAGGTGTGAGCTGGTGGTCGAAGCTTTAGGACTTGGCTTTGTTATTTGCATTGTAGCTTCTTCTCATCTTCCTTAATCTTAGCAAAGTGAGCTGTACCCAAAACCACTTGTTTGGGTGACCCAGGGTAAGGGAAGGAGCAGTTTCTTGTCTGTAAATGCGTTTCTCTGTCTTAGATCCACCAATCCGACGCCCCCACTAACGTAGTCGGTCCCGGGCTGGGCAGGTGCCTGGGCTGCCTTTCTCTAACAGCATTAGCAGTAATTGGGATTTCGTTCAAGAAAGAAGTAGATACACCAAGCTGAAGATGATTGGCTGCTCTCTTTTAACAGACAAGTCTGAGAAGGAAAACCCATTCGAATCCCCTTTCATTCTGGATTGGTGGATCTGAAGCCCAGAAACAAAGTTTCAGGTAAGAAGTCACCCTGTACTATATCTTGCTGCTTCTGCTTAGATGGGTTTGTCCGCACATTCAGTCCCTGCTTTAACTGCTTGATGTCCCCAGGTGTTAGGGCACAGGGAATCAGCTGCTGAGCTGAGTCAGGGCATGGCCAAGAGGTACAGGAGCAGTGCTGGAGGGAATGGCCAGTCTGCTGTGGAGCATCGGGCTGGGAGCACGAGGTGAACTTCTGTGAGTGCAGGAACGGGCACAGCGCCGTTGGCTGCCACATCCTGTGTCTGGAAGGGGAGAGCAGCCTTGTCAGTGACTGTCCTGGGCTCCCTGTGGAGTTCAGGGAGGTCCCAGCTCTGAGTTCAGGCCCTGTCCTGATGGATCCATCAGAACTGGAGAGAACTTCTCTGGTTACTCCTAGCTGTAACTTTTTTCTGTAGCTTTTCCTGCTGAAATGCCATTTGAAATTCTTGGAGTCAGTGTCCTAAACCCTTCCTGAGCTGTCAGTGTGAAGGTTTGGCCTCAGCTGTTTGGGACAGGTGTAGGGCAGGGGTGGCACGAGAAGTCTCACACTGACACTGGGTTTATTTCAGAGTAGGGGTGAGCCATTGTACTTGGAGTCACATTCCTCTGAGATTTGGCATGGCTACAAAAGGTTATCTTAGAGATGGGTTTGGAAGGTGTTTGTGTGCCTCAGGAAGGCAAGCTAGGTCCCTGGCTGGCAGGAAAAGAAAATTGTGTGTGTTCAATATCATATCTGGTGTGAATGGGAGAGCTGCACCTCCCAGTGCCCAGCTTTACTGTGAGTTGGTGCTCTGATGGACTTGGCAACTTATTTCTGCAGTGACTGTGAAGCAGTGTACCTGGATTCCTGTGGACAGTAACAGCAGTAATGCTCAGCCTTTGTGTGTTCTCCTTTGTAGGAGTTACTGCAGTGAATGGGGAGCCTCTGTATTTAACCTGCTGTAGCAGAAACTCTGTTCGTGCTGTTGGTCTCATGCATGGTTTGAATTCTGCGTTTGTTTTCCTGGTGTGGTATTTTGTGCCAAAGTTATATTTGAATTTAATTGATAAATACGTTTATAATTAATTACTTGTGCAAAGGTTTCCTGGTTTGATTTTTAGTGTAGTTGAATTTTATTTGGTTAGGGTGGAGAAGTCTGTTTTAGTGTGACTCTTTTAAATAAACCAGAGGGAGAATGCAGGGGAAATACTTATTAACCTTAGACTGACACATTTCTTACATTCTCATCTAGTATCAAATTGAATTTGTTCCACACAGCCATCAGACTCACTTTGGAGTTAAAATTGTGAAATAGTGTCTTTCTGTGGAATATTTGCTGTTCAGGGTGTGCCTTTTTCTAAAAACTAGAGAACAGGGAGACAGAAGCAAACTTGGCATCTTTAGTGATGAAAACTAAAAAGAGGAAATAATTTAAAATACACTGAGCAGGGAAAAAAGAGGAAGCATAATTGAGTGCTCCTGCTGATCAAGATCCTCAATGTAATTTAATATTGCTTAACTTTTGGAAACACCAAAACAGCCAGCCCTACACAGGCAGCAGTTGAGCTGAGCAGGTTGGAGGCTTTGCTCTTGCCTGTGTTTTGAATGTTGCATTTCAGAAAGTGCCCTGTGAGGCACTCTCAGAGCTGTGGCAGTGTTCCTGTGCAGCCCTGCCTGGCAGTCCTGGGTTGCTCTGGCAGCCCAGCCTCCACAGGCATCGGAACTTGAGTGCTGCTACCCTGCCTTGGCTGTTGTAGGATTTATTGTCAGCTCTGTTAGGCCTCAGCCTTGAGAGCCTAAGGGTCTGAGACAGCTTTTAACATGTTAGACAGGTTTCAGCCATGTTTTTCTCTGTGTCTGATGCCCTGCAGGTTTCTCCTGTGTGATGGGCAGTGCTGGGTCTGTGTTGCCCACTCAGGATTTGCCCTGAGCTGCTGGCTGGAGATGTCTGCAAGTCCCTGTTCTGCTGCAGGAGAGCAGAAGAAAGTGTTTTGCTTTAGAAATGGCCTTTTTAGTGTAACACAGGGGATTAGTGCAGAAAGGTGTATCATACAGCTGTGGGAGTTGGGGTGTATGTACATGAAGGAGGCAAGGGCTAATCTAAATGCTGTGTATTTTGGAAAATTGAGATTATTTCAGTAGTGTTCAGAGTGGCTTATGCAAACATCTTAGGATTTTTTTCCCAGTCCTTTGTATCTTCTTGAAAACAAACTGCTGCATCTCATGAGTCTTATCCTGATTAATAAATTATAATGGAGTAAGATGGTTATTCTATTCAAAGAAAGCATTTAATCTTCTCTCCACTGAACCCATATTCCTTTTGTAGCATTGACTGTGTGTAGCAAACACACTTTGATCTTCAGGAGCAGAGTGGGACAGCGTTCTCCATCAGCCTCCTGTGAATTCAGTGTCCTATCTAGAGCATCGCTGTGGTAATAAGGAGAATTTCTCTCATCAATTCTTTTCCCTTGTCTTGCTTTCAATTTCCTGATTCCTCACTTAGTGTTTTTCCCCAAATGCAAGAGCTTATGTGCAGATCTCGAATGGCTGTTGGAAGGTTATTCCATTGAGCAGTTTAAAAATCTATTGTGAATAGCAATGATTTGGCTAAATTGATTTTCCTAATGGCACTGTGACTCAGCTATTGGTTACCTAATTTTTTTTAGAATGATCTAATAACAGAATAATAAAAAAAATTCACAAGTTAAAATTAGTTTTCCACTCTGTGGGTATTCATTTTTGAGAAATTAATTTTTGCATTTGTAGCTCATGGAAAGAGAGAAATAAATGCAAGCGTAAATTACGTCTGAAACAACTTTGTTGACCTGGGAGTCCAGTTCTGCTGAAATTGAAGCAGATTGCTGGAATGCAATGTAAAACTCCCTGAGTGTGGAAATGTGTTGTATGGATGGTGCTCCAACAGCCTTCTGAATGCCCAGTGGGGCTGCCCTGGCCGTGGGAGAGGCAGTGATGTGATGGCAGCGGTTCCAGCAGACCCGTGTGGAGCACAGGGCACCTCCCCGGGCACAGCCTGGCTGGGGTGGCACAGGAGCAGCCAGAGAGCTCCTGCTGGTGCCTGCAGAGCTGTGCAGGGATGTCCCTGCCAGCCCGGCTGGCCCTGGGGAAGCTCTGTCACCCTGCATGTCCCACCCAGTGTTCACACACACCCCTGGATGTTGTGCTTCCCACCTGTGCACACTCAGTCCCAGCCCAGGGCTTCACCACTGCTCTGCTTGGCACTGTTTGAAGCCTGAACAGGAAAAGCACCAGGTAAGATCTGGAGGAAATCCCAGCCTCCAAACCGGGAGGGAGTTGGACTTGGCTGCTGTTCCTGCCGAGTGTAAAATAATAATGAAGGCCTTGAAACAGTGTTACTGCTCATGTTTTTTATGTCTTAGTGTGGTTAATGCTGATTTTTGAGGAGATCTGAGCTTGCCATTAGGCTGGAGATGGGAGCATAAGGCTTTCCCAGACTGCCCTCAAATCCAAGTTGGCTTTTCAGAGCACCTCTTGGGCTGCATTAAACTGAGCCCCCAGCCATGGAGAGGGGTTTAATTAGCACCACTTACCCATAAAATTATCAATATTAAGTGTTGGTGGAAATAAATACCAATTGTGTTGGTCCAGGCCGAAGTAAACTAACCAGGAAGTCACCATTGCTGAGTAGCATGTGAATTTCTTATAGCTAAAAATCTCAAAATAATTGACAGTGAAGGCTGAGGTTATTTGGTTGTACCTTTTTTGCATGTTTTTTCCTTAAGATCAGAATTTCCCAATAAATTTGGATTCTCTAAATTACCTTGTATAAATAAAATGAATGCAGTGAAAAATTTTGAGGTCATATTTTTAATATTTTATAAAACTCGCAGCATAAGTCTGGGTTATGTAAATGCTGTCATTCTTAGTTATGACGCTGCAATATTGCCATGCCTGGGTTGCAAAGGTGTTCTAATTCCATCAGAAACACAGGCTATAGGCATTTCTTGGGCAGTTTAAAGGGCTTTAGAGGATAAATGTGTGAGGTTTTGTTAAGGGATACAAAAGTGTGAGGATTTCTGTGTGACAGTATCAGGTGCTCTGAAGGAAATGATTTCTGGGCATGTTACACTGCTTTAACCAGGCCCTGTTGTAACCTGGGAGAAGTCCAGAGTGAAGGAAAACTTTAGGATAGGATAGTTCAGGGCCTGAGGAGGTGTTTTTTACACCTCCATCCTAAAAGTTCCCAACTACAAAGTTGTTTTATTGGATGCACACTGCTGTGTGCTTAATTAATATAAGAAGTTCTTAACATTTGAGTTTTAAAGACATTGAAGCATCTCCCCTTTTTACTGAGGATTTACAGGTTTCTCTGGGAATGCAGCATTTTGTATAGGCTGCTTCAGTTTGAGATTTGAGATTGAAATGTAAAGCTTGAAATGTAATTCCTGGGGCTAGACCACCAAAGCAGTTCTTTGTGTATGGAATTAGCATCAGTCATCTCATAATAAAATTAAAGTACCAATCTCTGCAAGCACCAGGCATTGAAGTGATCAGAATGAGAGTTTGTGTCTGTTCCTGCCTTGCCCTGGGGCTCAGAGCCCTCTCAGCTCTGCAGATAGAACCTCCAGGGGATCCCCTGCCCTCACAACGTGAGGCACTTAGAGCTCTGCATTGCTGATTACCTTAGTCCTTAAAATCTGAGTTTCAGTTTACCTCAGCCTGTGCAGTTCTGATCTCTGTTCTCATTTAATGCTGTGCCTGTTGGCCACTGGCACTTTCCCCTCCCCAGGCTTTATTAAACAGTGCTGCACCTCCCTGGGCTCCTGGTGAGAGAAGGGCCAGTGCAAAGTGAAGCCTTTGGAACACTGTTGAACTTTTCTTCATCACAGATCAGGCAATAACATGTCAGGGAAGCACACAAATATTTGCACGTTGCTGTTTTGGTGTGAAGTGGGACACAATATTTAATTTGTAGCATTGTGCAATAGCAGTGCTGCAGCTGAGTGTCCAGGGAGTTTTTGTAAAGCCTTTCATGCAGGTTTCATAATGCTGTGAAAAGGTTTTTGTGTGGCTTAACCTTGGCATGGAAATGGCCTCAGTGCCTAATGCATTTTGAATTAAATTTTTAAAAATGTTCTCAACTTACCCATTTTTGTGTTAAGCACTTCAAATTCAGTTTATTTAGCTAGAGTAGTTCCTAAACTCCCCACATGATAACCTCTAAACCAGTGATTTTTAGTTCATAATCTACAGGTGTAGATTCGTTATAAACATTATCCTCAGCTTTGTGCACCTAATCTGAACATCTCAGGAGAGGAGTTTGCTGTGGCTTTTATCAGTGACTTTTATAAAGTCACATGAGCAAAGTGACTTTTTTTAATCAGGCCTGGATGTTTAAAAATGTTTTTGGGCTTTAATCAACACCTGCAGAAATACCCTGAATTTTGCTGGTTCAGTGTTGCAGAACCATGATGAAGGTATTGTCCTAAATAGGAACAAAGAACAAAATGAATTGCAAAGGGAGTTTCTTGAATTATACACTCATTTTTGAGAAACCTATAAAATGTGTCTCTTCAATCAGTGGGTTTTAACAGTACATTCCATCTTTTTTGAAAATATGAAAGCCAATTTTTTTTTGGTGTCTTCTTGTAGTTAAGGTAGTTTCCCTGTTGTCACTGATTGTCTGTCTTAGAAGTGTCCTGGGAACTAAATTTCCAATGTTAATGCAAGGACATGTCAAAGTTAAGTAATGCAAAATAATGACAGATGTAGTGGAGTAATTACTTTATAGCTAAATCCCATTTCTCTGTAAACATTAAATAAACTTTTAAAACATTTTAGTAATTGAAAACTATGGATTTGTTTTGCTATTAATGAAAGAATAATACAATAAAACATAGGTATGACTATTTTTACCCCTGTCCATAAGAGATAGGCTCCCTGTCTTGCCATTCCAAGTGCACAGCACAGGATATCCCTGTGGAATCAGCACCTTCCTGCTGGGTAAGAGAGGGAAATTCAATGTGTTTTGGTGCTGCTAGGGCCATTCTTCTGCTGGTTTTGCTGTAATTTCTTTCCTTGGCATGGAGATGAAAATATGAGTCTTCCTTTTGTTTTATTCATAAGATATGAAACAAAAAAAAGGTTTTTTACCCTTCAGGTGCTCTGGGCTCTCTCCCCCTCCTTGATCCTGGCACAAACTGCTTTCCATGAGGCTTCACCTCCAGTTATTCCACTTTCAGCTTTGACCTGTGTGGGGCTTTCCTTTCAAAGTTTTGGTGTCCATTGTAACTAAATTGGAAGCCTGTGTGGAAAATAGTGAAAGCTCAGTCTGTGCCAAATATTGCAGCTGGGTTTGTGCTCTGCTTGATGCTGAGAAATTGAATCCTTTTCCCTAACTTTATCTGGTGTATATACTGCTCTGTCCTTAAAAAGAACTGGGAAATAATATTGGGGAGCTACAGAAATTTTGGGGAGTCTGTCTGCATCAAATTTCTTCAGCTTTCTCCAAACTTTTCCTACTTCTCATGTGGGGAATTTGGTAATTAAGCTTGGGTGGCAGGAAGAGTAGTAAACGTAGCCAAGGGATGATTTGGCTTTAGGATATCTTCAACTATAATTCCAACATTTTTCCCCAGGTCATTAGGATTCCTTGATTAAGCAGAGCTTGGTCATGTAATTTGAGCTCAGTTAAGTGTGGTTCCTCTCTAAAATGTGCTCCCATTGTCGGGTTGAATAAAGAACCACAGTTTGTTTGAGAAAGCTGAGACACTGGGGAGTGCCAAACCTTAATTCCCAAACTCCTCCAGGTGGATTCTAAAGCCTCCAATGGCACCTCCTGTCCCCAGGGCACTGTGCAGGGCACAGCTGGGCAGGGATTTTGGCCAGGCTGGGTTGCTGGGTGGGGGCTCTGCCCTGGAAGCTCTGCTGTGGGCAGCAGTGTGGGTGAGCTAAACTCTGCTGCTGCTGGGAGTCAGTGAAAGCATTCAGCGGGGCACTGAGGGCACGGGGTTACAGAGGGGGAGAAGGAGCTCAGGCCAGAGGGGTGGGACAGGCCAGAGGGGTGGCTGGTCCTGGGCAGGCCAGAGGGGTGGTTTGTCCTGCACAGGCCAGAGGGGTGGTTTGTCCTTGATGGCTGCACAGCACCTTCAGTGGTTGTTTCACCCCTGGCACTAACTACGGTGAATGTAGAAATAACATAGATAAGTACCCACGTTAACATACTAATGAGTTGCCTGCCTTGAGTGATTTGTTGTGGCATCTAACTGCTTCTTCTCTTCCTTCCTTTTTGTCACCCTGCAGTGTTCTGTGCCAAGGTCTTTGTGGCTAGGCTGCTCCAACCTGGTAGAGAGCATGTGCGCACTGAGATGCCTGCAGAGCATGCCCAGTGTCAGATGTCTCCAGGTGCCTTTCTTCTTTCTTGTTGTAAATGTTATGCTGTTGAACTTGTGTTAAACTCTCAGGACTCTGTTTAATCGAATTGTTTAGTCTGCTAAATGTTTTTTGTGCATCCTTTTCTGAAATCTTCTACTTAACTGCATTGTAGGAGTGACTCTTTAAGGGCTTTCTGTGCAGCAGGGCTGGGGGAGCTGTTGTGTTTTATTGCCTGTTTACTGACGTTGTGATATCAGTAGCATAGTTCTGCATGTTGCCTGCTACCTTTTGCTTTCTCATTTAACTTAAAAATAACGTAATGAGCTTTGCTGTTAATGAACTGATCAGCCTGTGATATATGTGTGATTGAATTTAGAAAGGAAAAGCTTTTTATTTGCTCCTAAGCGTGGGCCTGGGTGTAGCCTTACCTTAGTCTTTGCACGTGTTTGAACAGAGAATAGTGAGCATGGGGTCCTGGGCTCTTTGGGTTGCCCTGTTAACTCAGTTTTTTAACTTCCTAGAAGTGAAGAATGAGGGATGGGGGTGGGGGGTTGGTCTGCATAGAAAACCACTAAGTCCTAAGTTGTCTGTTGTTTTTCTTCTAGTAAGCTGTTGGAGCTAAGCCTGCATAACTTAGAGATGGGGAATTGCTGCTTCATTGGTTTGGGAGGGATGTAAAATGACAAAAAGGGAGCTTTTGGGACCAGTTAACAATTTTTCCCAGGGTATTTACCTTGGAAGGAAAATGCTGAATGTGTGTAGTAACTGTGTGGCACCTCCCAAAGTGTTTCTGAGTGTAACATTTTTTTTAGCAGAAAACAAGGATTATTTAACATAGTCTGTTTGCATAAGAGCTTCATTCAGTGATTCAAGTCTTTCATGTGTATAAAATGAGTAGTTAAAAGAAACTGCTTTTTTGTGAATGAAAATGAACAATTGTGTCACTCCATTTGAGGTCAGCCACTGGAGAACATCAGTGTCTTACCTTAGAGAGTAACCAGTTTTAAAATAACTTCTCACCTGCAAATGTGGCCACTTGAAATTCAGCAAATGTGAATTTCAGAATCAGAAGTTCCTTCAAAATTTTTGTTAAAATACAAATCTGTTTTTTCCATTTGAATGCTTTACGTTTCCAATTTTGAAATAGTATTCAAAGAAAGGACAAAAACTCAGGTCCAAGACAAACTCCCAGATGGGTAATTCAGTTTTATAGAAATGAACAGTCTCATGGCCAAATCATTGCTTATAGAGGAGTGCCTACAGTCATGCCAGGGCAGAGTCCCAGAGGTTTGGTGTCTGTCTTGGCAATAATCACAAGCTACTTCTAATTTTGACAGGGTGGGATTGTTGGGGTGTGTGCGGGGCTGGGGGTTGGACTTTGCTGATCCTTGTGGGTCCCTTCCAGCTCAGGATATTCCACGGTTCAGTGAAACATTGTGCCAAAATAAAGACTCTTTACTTTTTATTAAGGTTGATTGTTCTGTAGAGCTGCAACCAGAAGAGGCTTTGGGACTTTTGGAAGTGTCTGTGAAGGATTATTTTTTTTAGAAAAGTTCTCCTTTTAGGTGTGTGGCTCAGTGATGTCGTAAGGGGAACTTGGAAGCAAAAGTGACACCAGCTGCTTTCCCCATTTATTATTTTTGGCACTGTGACTTGCCCTTCATAGTTTCCTGAACTCTTAAGCCCACACGGAAATCAGGTGGGGCACAGGTAGCAGGAGCTCTTGGTTCTGTAGCATGCATTGGTTAGAGTGAAATGATGAATAGGAAGTGCTGGAAGGGAAATCCAGAAGCTCTTGGTGATTGCCAGAAGTTACCTGGGGTTGTGAATGTTGTGTGTGGTGCCCAGGCCAGAGAGGGGGAAGAGCAGTCTGGAGCCTTGGAGAATCTCTGCAGGAAGCTCTTGCTCAGTCCTGGGGGTTTGTCAGACCTTTAGGCTTCAGCAGTCACCTGCCATCCACCTGAAGGAAGAAAGCAGGATTGGGTTTGTTGTGCCTTTCTGGGAGGTTGTTAACAATCATCAAACCTAACAAAGCTGGTTAAAATCAAGCTGTAGCATTTCAGCAAATCCCCTCTGCCCATGGATGGGGAGGTGCTCCAGGTCTCAGTCTGGGTGTGTATTCTGTGCTTTTCCTCATGCAGTAAAATACCCTCACAGTGTTTTAAACCTTAGTATTTTAAACCTTGCAGTTTACTGGAGAAATATTTGCTTTCTGCATTCTGTGAGCTGTTAGTGAATGCAGAAGAGAAACAGGTCATTTATTTAAAAAAAAAAATTATTCCTGTTTGTGGTACTTGAGGTTTCTTCTCATCTACACTGGCTTTTGGTTTAATTGGTATTATTAGGAAATACAGTCCCTGACACTTAACACTTGTTTCTGTTGCATGGAGAAGTACATATTAAGTGCCAGTTCATAATACTTGAAACTACTGCAAGGCCTTATTTTTAACTGCTCAGTTACCTTTAATGATGTTTTTGTACATGAACACACTGGTATCCAGTAGCTCCTGTTCTCATTTGCTTTGATATGGATTTCTCTGCAAGATTAAAACCAAAATTCTTGTTTAGGTCTTTAGAGAAACTGGTTCTTGTTAGAGAAACTTGTTAGCAGGTGTGTGATGCAGCCCTGTGGATGCAGCACCTTCCATGGCTCCATCCTTGGAGCACAGCAGGGATTTTTGGAGTGTTTTGTGCTGCTGGTTTGGGAAGTGGCTCCAGCAGGGCTGCCAGGCAGGGCTCTGGGCTCTGTGAGCAAACATCTCCAGTGTGGTGTGAGCACTGCTCATTAAGCAACAGAAGATAAGAGCCCAGGCATCACTTTGAATTATTGCATAATGAAGGAGATGATGAAATAAGTCTTGGGAAATGAATTATTAGAGAGATATAAATGAAATTAACCCAGTAACCAAATACTGCCCCAGCAAGTTTCTTCCCTGCCTTCAGTTACGCCTTTCTTCTACTTCTGTTTTTTAAAAAAATAATTTTATCTCTCTTTTAAAACTCCACTTAGGTTTTGTTGGGCTTATTTACACCCTCCCAAGGTCTTTGGGGCTCTTAAAAAAGTTTTCAGCTTAATTGCATGCAGTGCCCTGCTCCTCTTTGCCTGTGTGGCCTGGAAGCTCTAACAGAGTTCATTCCCTGCAGGAACAAGAGCTGTCTCACTTCCCAAGCTGCCAGTGGGAGATCTCAGCTGGTTCCTCCACAGGCCAGGTCTTAAAGCTCATGCAGTGGCATTGTCAGACTCCTCCAAGCCCATTCTCCCAGGTGCTCAGAGGCTTGGGGCAGCACCTCTGCCTTCCCTGTCCTTTATCCTTTCCTTCTGCCCAGCTCCAGAGGTGCTCCTGGAGCTGCATTTTCCTTTTCATGGAGTCCCCATCCCCAGAGGTGGCACTCAGAGCTCTGGGCTGGGTATAGAACATAAGTTTCCCTTCTTTCAGTTTAAACACTGAAGTTTGCAGAAGGAAGTTTATTTTTTTTATTTATTGATGTTACAATTTAGTATTAACTTGCTTAAGCTTCTGTTTGTTTTTCTTTACTAATTTTGAGCTTCTGTTGATGTTTCTATTGTGAAACCAGAGGGAAGCACAACAACAGAAAGTGTAGTTGGAAAAACTTGCAGTTGAAAGCTAAGAATTGAACATGAAAACTTCTTCATCCTCTTTTTCCAGTACAAATTCAGGCACAGACATGATGCAGTTTTCTTAAACCCCAGAGTGCTGGAGATGGGCTCTGCTCAAACCTCCTCCTCCAGAGCATGAAATCACAAATGGGAGATGAGTGGCCTGTTGCTCTGGAGCTTGCATCCCTTTGGAAATGTTACTCTCTGTAGCTGCTGAAATGGGTTGTCATAACCAGACAACTGCTTTGCTGCTTCTGTTGGGTCTGAAGTCATTTACAAATACCTTTTTGACATGTTTTCTGGTATTTTGCCTCAAAACAGTGGAACTGTTACCATTTCTTTTTGGAAACAGTCCAACAGCTCCATTAAAAAGAAATACATATTTGATTCCTTTTCTTCAAAGGAACAGAATGTTCTGTCCAATATCTGAAATATTTCTGCTTGCTCCCTGTGTTTAAACAGACTTTTCAGAGACAGAGCTTTCAAACCCAGGCCAGCAGTGTAGAAGCAAATAAAACTCCCCATGGTGGGTCTGGGGGCAGTGTGGCAGGGGGATGGCCTGGATTCCCCAGTTCCTTAACCTGAGGTACAAATGGCCAGTTCTCCCTCTGGTAATCAGCAGTGCTGCTTTCCAGGGTGGTTCCTTCTGGCTGGAGTCTCCTCTCAGTGAAAAGTGACACCAGTTTGGGGTTTGTTTTCAGCAGTTTCTTGTAATAACTTTTCTTTTTTAGTTCTCAGTGTGGGTGTTACAGATTTTGAGGCCTGATCCAGCAGCTCAGTTTGGTGGCAGTTGCACATCCTGCAGGCATTTGCAAAGGGTAGCATTGCATTTTATTCCCCTGGTGCTCCAGTGCTTGGCCATCCTTGTCCTCTCCACCATATCCCAGCCTGTTTCCTTTGGAGAGCCCAAACTGGGATGGGCATTCTGCAGTCTGGACATCCCTTACAGCCACAGCAGCTTCTGGTGGTGCTTCCAGGCAGTGTGGCCAGCCATGGCTTGGTGCTGGATCCAGATACCTCTGCCCAGCAGGATGGGGAAATGTGAAATACAGGGATTGCTTTCTCCAAATGTGATTTATTCTCCAAGGGAAGCACTTCTCTGGTGTCCTTCATGTATCTGAGTGCTTTGGGCTTTATGACTTTAGTTTTTAACTGAGCCTGTTCATTCTTAGGGGCAAGGAGGGACCTTCTCTGTCTTGGGTCAGTTCTAGTGTTTGTTTGGAAATGGAAGTGAGTTGTTATTTACTGGAGTGAATCCCAGGACTGAGCTCTGAGCCAGAGCTTTGCTTTCCTCAGCTGAGGAGCAGAAATGTGTCCTTGATGTGTGAGATGCAGCAAAATGGAATAAATATCTGTGAGTTTTGGTTCCTGATTTGCCTGGGACATGACATGCATCTGTCACTTGGAGCTG